GAACAAAACTGTGCCTATAATATTGTTTTTTTTTCATTCTTTTCGGTTATCCGATTTTTTCAGTTATCCGACAAACCCGAGTCCCCAATTGAGTCGGATAATCGATGCTCTACTGTATACATATATAAATATGAATAATTTTATAAATGTTTTAAACATTATAAACATATATAAGAATTATAGAATTTTAAATTATTTCTTAGAATAAACCCCTCGTTTGTTTTTGTACATAAATAACTTTTACAGTTATAATCGTTATTATTAATATAAAACAGTCACTAACACATTAGGAATTTTCCTAATGTGCTAGCGACCTACAGGGGATCAATCGATTTATCTAGGGGTCGATAAATTACTAGGGGTTGTTTGGAGATCGGAGAATAAATTTATTTTTATTACATTAAAAAAATAATTAAAGTAATAATAGTAATACAAAAATAATTGAGATATATTTAATTTTAGTAATGTAAAACATAATTTTTAATTTTGATTTATATTTAATAAAAATATAGCCTATTATTAATTCTTATTTGAGCTTTTAATAATCGTATTTGTAATTTATTTTTATATTGTATCAGTATAGAAAAAAGCCGAAAAATTAAATATGGTCTTGGAAATGGGGCCGACAAGCAAGAAGGATTGGAATCGCCGCTCGTTTTGATGAAGACAGACAGTTAACAAAGTTTATTATAAATTTAAAATTGTCTTATTAAACACAATCATATTAAGACGAATTAGTTAGAGGATAGAGATGTCGCGTTTCGAAACTGTGCTATTTTTAACTGGAATTTTGTTAAGTACAATCAGAATTTTCAAAATCCCATTAATTTATGATAAGAGAAACGTACTGTACATAACACTATCAAAATCAATTTTTCACATTAGAAATATGTGTAACTTTTAATAGTCTACTATTCATTATATACGAATATTAACATACTTTTCGTTCATAAGAGAAATAAGTAAAAATAAATTAGTATTCTATTCAAGTTATTTTACAGCAAGTTGAATAGAATAAAGCTTAAACTTAAAAATGATATTTCTAATAATGTTTCATTTAATCTTACTATAAAGTAAGATTATAAATGTAATAAATAATAAAAAAGTAAGTTTATATAAAATAAATCTTACCTTTTTAATCTAAAAAGAAAAATTAAAGTATTTGGACATTTTCTTCTCATGATTTATCCTTCGAATATTCGATGACTTGGTTAGTACCGTTTTCTAATGAAGCTATCTTACTTTCTAAAATGAACGCATCTAAATAATTTGAACCTAGCAATAAAAGTATTTAAGCTTTTTAAATAAAAAATGTAATACTTAATTTTAATAACTTAATAGTATATAATATAAATATTAAGTTATTGTATGATGTAATTAACGGACATATAATACTGTATAAATATATCCGTTAATTATGTGTGTAGTTTAAGGAGAAGAGGTAGCGAAAAGTACAATTATTGTACACAACAGGAAGAGAAAAATGTGGCTCAAAAACTGTACACGTAATTAATGAACGACTTCTTTATAACGTTCAAGTTTTCAATTATATTAATTAAATTTATTTAATAGCCTATACCCAACTATTTAATATATAAATAATAATAATAAACAATTGTGTTAATAAAAGTTTTTATTAAAATTACTTATAATGATATTTCTTTTTTGAAGTATACTTTTATGCTTAGTTTAATTTATGCATTTAAAAATAGATCTAAATATTTGATTATTGATTATACTTTTTCGTTGGTTTTATATTAAATTTTAAAAAATTTTATAGATAAATTCCGAATGAGTTTGATTGGTTGTTGTGACTGGCTTTTCCATCCATTCATCATCGAACAAGCTTTCCTGTTTTTTTGTAGCAAATAACCCATTAAATATCTAAATAAACAATTATTAATTTAAGAGGAAAAATATTTAGATAGACAAAAAAAAATATTTCATATAACGTCTATTTCATAATTCAAAATTTTATCCATTTATATTGTTTATACAAAAAATATTATGAAGCGTTAGTTCCGTGGCAGGCACGCTCCTTTCCTTTTGATGGCCTACATGTTTGTTTGATAGATCAGTAATTTATGTAAAGATAATACATTAAAATTTTCAGATAAATAATTTTCATTTATTGATCCATTCTTTAAAAATATAGTTTATCAAGTTATATGTTCATTAAAAAAATGTAAATGTAAACATGCCTGATGTTTTGAAAAACTACTTTAAATAATGGGGATGAAAGCCATAATTCATTACACTATTATTTTAGTTTTATTTTGTCTCCTATTTTTGAAAATTTTTCTATTCATTTATTTTTTCTCTAAGAATAATTTTTATTGGTAGTTAATAAATATTAGTAGGCCTAATTAACGCATTTTAAAGCTTTATTACAACCATAAAATGCAACTTTATTTTTTATGATTTTCATATAAAGGAACGAGTGAACTAAATTCTCTTAAATTTTCAATAAGTTAAGTCATTTTGTGCATTAAATGTAATTAACTGTACTGTATCTCCTTTAGAAAATCAAAGCCAGAACAAAATAAGATATTAAAAAATTAAAAATCTAAATAATATTGATATATAGTTTCGTTGTGAATATGTGCTGACAATAAGACTTACACTATTTCCTCTTTAGAACCTAATATTACTTAAAAAATGATAATTGTCATTTGATTTGTATTATAGGCCTATATGTTATATTAATATAAGAGCAATTTGGATATTTAGCGAGAAAGGAAAAATATCATTTAATGAAATTTATCTTACAAGGAAAGATAAAAGGAAGATCTGGACATTTAAAGACGTGGTTCCAAAATCTACGACAGTGAACTGGAATGAGGACTGTTCAGTTGTTAGGAGCGATCGATGATAGGGAAAAATGGCCCAGAATAATTGTCGATGTCCATTAAAGATACGGCACTAAAAAAAGAATTAAAGAAATTAATCGGCTCTTTCTTAGAGTTTGCCTTGCTATTAGATTTAAAAATTTTAATTATGAATAAGATTTAAGACAATTTTTAGTAATCTTTAAACAATATTCTTTCTTCCAGAGAAAAATTTTTTAGTTTTTAGTGTTTTCCTTATATTATTTTAGCATCGGGAAAAGTTTACAAAATTTCAAACCTCATTTTTCTTTATCGCTAATTTATATTTATTATAAAATAATAATAAATATGTACTAATTATGTTATATTATACATTAATTAATTTGTAAACGTACATGCTAGTGTAGATATTACACAGAAATATAGAATATCTATACTTATTAAAAATATAAATCGGAAAATTATTGCTTAAAAATTGTAATAATTTTATCAATAATAATTTCTATTGAAAAGATTAATATTTATTCGAAAAAATTTAAGTGTACTAAGAAATGATACATTAAACTAATATAATTCGTCCATTGCTTAATTCTTTCCTTCTCTTTTACATTATTTAAGATCAATTTCTGTCTTTGTGCAGAATAAAACGTAAATATATAAGCATACAATGTTCTATTATCCGAAAAGCTACAGGCTACACCTAAATTAAACTTTTTATACAGGCCTACTTTGTTAAATTCTTTCTTTCGTATATTGATATAAATATAGAATGTAATCATTGAATTATCCTCTAAATTAAAATTTTTATGATTTTCTAATCTAAACGTAAGCGTTGAAAAGTTATACAAACTAGTTAAGCACTTAACTTTAAAATTTTCGTTCATACTTACTATAGATAAGTTGTTTAAGTACACTGCAAAAAAATTTGATTTAAATTTTCCATCAAATTGGTTTTATGATGAATATATTTTAGAATATCAGAATATCATCTTGTTACATATTTCGTTTGCTGAATTCTCTGTTACTGTTTCCATGTAGCCTATTAATAAAAGTTTCTAAATTTATAAATCTTTATCATAATTTAAAGTTTTTCTTATATTTTTTAAAAGTTTCACTATTCTAGAATATTACAAATATATATTGCAATGGTATTATTATTACTTATTGTGGGCTTATATTCGTTAGAATCAGAAATATTAATTGAACAATTTTCTCCTAAAGTTTAATGGATAAAGAAGAGTCAAAATCTAAAAGTTCATGCTTTTTCTGAATACTTTCCTATATTTTCTACTTAGAATAGTTTTAATTATTTAACAGTGGTAATATTTTGAAAAATATATATTCTCAATTACAAGAATTTCTTAGATATCACATATAATTTTTCGTTTTAAATTTGCATTAAATTTCTGATAAATTTGCAAAAGTAATTTCTATTCCTAAAAACATTATTAAATTTTTATTTAAATAAATATATGTATGTATTAATTTGTTCAATAACAATTCTAAAAAATAAATCAAAAAAGATGTTCCGGTAAAATAAAATTATAAAATCGCTATTATATTTAAAAATAATGATTTGAATATCAAATCAGCCTCTTTTTCTAACATGATAACTAAAGTGACATTTTTTTATATAAATTTTAACCATTGTATTACTAGTATCAATATATTTCTTTGAGAGGGAACAAATGTCAAGATTGTTCTAGATTTTTACAGCCTACAGAAATATTGAATGGAATTTAACATTCCGAACTTACAAGTCGAATGCAGAATGCGAACGTTTTCAACCGGTTTTTGATAGTTTACGAGATAATATTTCAACCGAGTGACACCTTTACTTTTATATTTCAAGAACCAATACAGTAAACAAACTTTAAAGAGTAATCTTATCTCAATAAAAACTTTTGATTTACTTGCCGCCTCCTGTTTTACATTAAAACAAAAGTACACTGAATCAATGTTACAATTCGAACTATAAACTTCCTCTAATTCTAACTCATGAAAATTTAATAAGTTTTGAAACCGAATAAAAACATTAAATAATTAAAATTTTATTTTAGTTCTTAAATTATAACAATTTTCTCAAAGAATTTTATATTGGACTTGATTGCTTTTCAATCTGTTCCTATTATTCGCATCAATAATTCCGACCTAAATCACATTGACCATTGCATTAAGCGGTATGATATATATGACTGTTTTGTATGATACGTGCTGTTACATGCACGTTATTGGAAAGTCAAGATGCTTGAATACCTGTCTAGACAGGTGACTGATAACGCAGACAAGTGTGACGACCTCGCCAGACACAAAAGCAGACAGAACAAATTAGCCTTTGATGTATAAAACAGAATCTTCATTGAGGTTGCGACTGTTTGGGCGTATACTGCATCAAAACATGGTCGTTCGTCAATAGTCTGATGATATATCTGGATCGCCTGTCCAACTTTCGAACCAATGAAAGCCAGCTTAACTCACTAATAAATGACAGTTACGGAACTGCCTTTCTAGGCAATTTATAAAATATCTATGCACTGTAAATAAACTAAAATGGTGGACGTGTGGAAGATGTTTATGTACTTTTATCTTAATATTTACATAATTTATGTCTTATGTACAGTTTTGTTTTGAATAATTCTGTTGTTTAAAATTAACAATAAGCATAACTTTCTATAATTTAAAAAATTACAAGTAAATAACGAAAATATATAACAATTATTTTAATCAATTCTTAATTGAAAATAATATTTAATGGCATTTTATTATCAAAAACATTTTTATATTTTAATAATTACATTTCATTTAAAATATTACATAATATTTTATATTTGATTTAAGTTATAAATAATATTACTTGATTAGAGGGGAAAAAATTAAAATATTGTTTATAACTTTTGTATTTTATTTTTAAATTTATTTTTATTTTATAATTAATATACAAATTATTAAAATGTAAATAAAATTTATCGATAAATTGTTCATAAATTTATTCATAAATTTATGAACAATCTATGAACAATTTAGATTTTTAAAAATTAAATTAAGAATACAATTATATTATTTAAATATATTATAAGTTATTCTTTGAAGTTAAATAATATTAACGATCTTTCAACAAACAATTTATATTAAATGAGGTTTCTCAGTATAGCTCCTATGTATTGCTCTTCAGTTGAAGTTTTAAATGTTTATTCCTATTGAAATAATTTATAATTAAACTTTATATGTTGAATTTATAAAGCGTAAATTTATATGTTAAAATATAAAATTAATAAGGCAAAATCGAAATATTTTAATATGAAATGTAATAGTATTTATAATATAAATACTATTTTAAGTTTTTTAAAACTTTTATTTAAAAAATAAACTGTTAATCATTAGAAAAATAAATAAATATTTTATTGTTTTATTTCCGATTATTTAAATTTAAATATAATTTCATATTAACTTTAAATAAGTAAATATACTAGAAAGGTGTTATAATAAAAACAAAAAATTTATCAATTTTTAAGTAACCGACAAGTCAATTTTCTCAACTTATCTGTTTTAATCATGTTAGAAACAATGTGAATATAACATTTAGCCGTAGGCATGTCAAGTCATTATACAAACGATCAAAGAAGCCGCCATAGAAAAACAATGAGAACATAAAAGACTTTATATATCAAATTTTACAAAATTCTAGTCAAATATTAAAATGTTCATCTATACGACTGACATATATCTAAATAACTATCTAGTTTATAGTTTAAAACAGTTTGAAAGTAAAAATTATCACATTTCAAAAGAATTTATTTTTTAAGATTTTATAAACGTTTTCCTTTCTAGTAAATATAATATGTTATAAATTATACATTTATATTTTTAGTATTTATTAAATGAAACAGGTTAAATTGGCAAATAAGAAAGCATAGTTTAGTTGACGCTATGTAAAATAATTCAAAAGATGTTTTATAAGCAAGACTTCATCTGTGCCTTATCCTTCACATCTATATTAGGATTAAAACACATGATTACATTTTGCAAAGCAGCTGAATCAGTAGATATTTCAAACACGCGTGTAAATGCAAATCGCTTATTAAAAATGCTACGACTCCCTTTGAATAGTCATCCCATTTATCATCGTTATTTATTCTCTACATTCTTCATACGAAACTTGGTTCAAATTCTTTAACGAATATACAATTTACTGAAATTAATCTACATAACTTATTTTTTATTAATTTTTAAACACGAAGTTGAGCACGGCTTATCCATTCTATTAATATAAATTTCCTATTTGACACCAATACACTTTAATGGATAAATAACTATGATAATAAGTTTAAGAGATTCTAATGTAAAGATTTATATTAATTAAACTATAAAACATTTATAAGTATTTATTTATTTTAAAAAAAAAAAAAGTCTGTTTCGGTATTAAAAAATGTTTACATTAAGAAAATTAGATTGAAATACAAATGTTATTTTAAAAACTAACAATTAAAAGTTAATGATTTCGAATAGAATTTTTACATTTTATAAACAAAATACATTTATATTAAATAAATTTTTTAAAATATATTCAGTTCAAACTGAATTTTGTTTCATTAACTCTATAAATATATTCTTCAGAACACTACATGCCAAAAATTATTATATTTATATTATTTTTTAATATTTATAAGAAGAAAGAGAAAAAAACAGGGGCAAAATTAAAAATTTTAAGCTGTTATTTTCACTATAATTATATATAATCACAAGTTTATTGTATGAATAGAATACATTTTCTTTAAACAGAGTAACATAAAGATTTTATTATATATCAGGATAGAAAAAAGAAAAGTGATATATTTATAAAAAAATGTATATTAAGTTTAAAATAACAATCTTATAAATAGTATTATTATGATTTTTCTACAACTATTATTTGATAAAAGTTGTTATCTATCTTTCAAATTTAAACTGGTTAATTTGTTTAAAAAGATTTTTAGCAAATTGTGTTATACGAAATATTAATGTAAATAAAGCCTTATTCTATAGATTTGTATAATCCAAAAGAATAATAAATTACTACTTACTATTGTTACTATTACTATTATTATTATCAAGAATTATAAATTATACAGAATTTTCTCTGTGCAAATGTAAAAGTTACTATGATAAATAAATGGTTTCCTATATACTTTCATATGATATATTTATATTATTTGTACTGTGTATTAATTAAAATATTATACTTAATTTGTGTTTTATTAATCTTTGAGACATAAATAATTTAATAATGAAGTAGCTAATTTCCTTAAATATGATAATTTCATGAATAACATGCAGATAAATAAAAAAAACAAACTTAATAATTATATTTTTAAATTTATCTGTTTATAAAATAACAATTTAAGCTATTGTATTGTTTTTTTAATTAACACCTGTCTGTGTGGCATAGAGATTGTTTAAAATGAATTTATTCAATATTATTTCATCAATATCATGAATCTGTTTCACTTAATATTAAATTAATGTAAATTAAATGAAAATATCAATTATAATTCATTATTTTTAATTAATTTATAGCTACGTTTATGTTTATGAATAGAAAATTACATTTATATATAATATAATATCTCTATATGAAAAATTAGAGACAAGAGTTAATTCTTTTAATTTACTTGTTCGTTTTTGCTTAATTATACAAAATAACCTTCTAAAATGTATAAATTTTATAGAAAAATTGAAATTTAAATAAATCCCACCTTTTGTCTTTGTTTCTTGATTTCCTGTTAACGGATTCGTTCGCCCGCGTTTCGCGTATTTTTTCAAAATAAATCTCGTATAAATTACATTTAACTTTTGAAACTTCAAAGAAATATATTTAAATACTTAAATATGTAAAAATAATGCAAATTTAATCATATTTATAAATCTTACCTTCTTATAAAACCGCTATATAAAAGGTGTAAAGCGCTAGATAAATCCTGTTAACATCCGCATAGCAAACACGTAGAAAAAGTAGTCCTAAAAAATTTTATTAATCGAAATTAATATAATTAAATTATTAATAAAAATTAAAATAAATTTAACATATTAATACGTACGAAAAATATTATTTTATACGTTCTGATTGGCAAATCCACAGAAAATTTAAAGATGTCTGCTAACGACCTCATCCCTCGATAAATGAAGGCAATGTTCGTAAGTTGAAACAAAACTAACCTCAAATGTAGTTAGAGTAATCATTGTCTTTGTTTACAAGTATCTTGATTGGATTTTGTACTGAAACTGCGTGATCTGTACGAATGGGATAACGTTTCGACGTCGAGACAAAATGGTTAGTTTTTATGACAAGCTCGAAGATTAAAGAAAACAGAAAATCATTGTTGTCTCATGTAATAAAAGATAGAATAAAAATAATTTAACGATCGTTCCGAAACATATTTACCCTCCAGCAATTTTCTTACGTTAAATATGAAAAAAAAACTATGATTAGTTTTATCTTTGTTCCGGTTTAAATCTAATTATACATTTAAATTGATTTTCTTAAATAGAATTGAAAGCTTCTAACTCGAACAATAGTTTAGTTTTTTTTTTAATCAATTGTCTTTTTTTTATTTTTAAATGATTTTTTTTTCCAAATGTGATGTTTCATCTCTTCCTATAACTTGCGTTTTTACTTTAATAAATAAGTTTATTATTCTATCTATTGATTTTAATACTGTATGTTTTTACTAAAAATATCCGATATTTAAAAATTTACCTTGACTTTTTTACATTGTCGGTCAATCTGATAAATTAAAGGTTTTGAAAGGATTTTATTAATAAATTTTCAGATTATTGTTTTTAATTTAATTAAGATATTGAGGCAGGTGGCCGGATTGATGAATTTGTTGCCATCTCGTGATTCAGGCAACTAGACTGTGATCGAAAAGGTTTTGTTCTTCTTAAAACTATTATATCTAGAAAGAAATGAGTTTTCTCTAGACACAATTGTTATATCTTTGTATTGCATGTCCTTAACTATTTTTCCTGTCTAACTGATTTTTTTTTCAAGCTCTCCATTCTAAAAGAGCTTTGTTAAATAAAGCATAAAGTTTACCTTAATCATCCCTCTCTAGAAATTTGACTATCATATACACCGATATCAGTGTATAAAACAAAATCTACATTATTCCCTTAATTATTCGAAAATTAATTATTAATATTTATTAATAAATATTAATGTTTAATAGGAAGTTTTTGCTGGTTACACGATATCGAATATTTATCGTATTCTGGTTTTTAATTTTCCTAGAATTCTCCTCCGGTTTATAGTGAGAGCTGCTAGACACTTAATCGATATTTCATTGTGATCAACCGATTTTTGAAAGGACAGGATGACATGTGTAGCATGTACAGAATGTACAACGTGCAATAGATAAGAGATTTATTTTATAATTTAATAGATTTTTATATTATTATATAATAACTAATCAAGTCAAATTAAACCGGTTTTTACGTTAATAATAAATTTTAAAAATTTCTAATTTATATTAAAATAACGTTATATTTTATATTCAGCCTTTAAGCATTGTAACAAGTTATATAATTAATCTAATTATATGGAGAAAAATTAAAATTACTGATTACAGTTCGTTAAATTATATTTTAAAATTAGCTAATATTTGTTGAATTATTATTAGACTATTATTTTATTGGAATAATAATTTTTTTATAAGCAACTTCTTAAATAGAGAATATTATTAAATATAACTGAGCAAATAATGTATTTTCTTTTCATTTAAATTTAATATTAATCTGTAAGGGTCTTCAAAAGTATAGCCTATATTTTTTTGTATTTACTAACGCATTGATAGCGTCGTTATTGATATCAATGATTTTCAAATGCAAGTGGCGTGTTCCTCTATATAGTCTATCTGTCTGGATCCTTAAGAACGACTGTCATATCTAATATTGTTTGTATTTTCGGTTCTCTTGTTTATGTTTTGACTTTTAGGTATTAAATGGCTCATTTTCTATTCGTTTGTACTTCATTTACCTTAGTCATTGTATTCTGTTGATTTGTCATGAACGGTAGATAAAAATTCAATAATAATTATTACTATTTTTTTCTTGATTTAACGTTATTCTACATTTTTGCTTTACTAATAATTAGATTTTGCGATATCATCAATAGTTACGAGTTATTTTGTTTATAATGGCGCATAAAATTTTCTATTCTGAAAATTATATTTTATTCTATGTAAGTTTTAAATGCATGTGTTTAGTTATATACAATATGTTCGTTTAATAACGTAAGTTGAGCTTTTGGCCTTTATTAAAAGCTCAAACTATTTGCTCTAACACTGCTGTCCAACTGCCTAGGGACATTACCGAATATTTGCAGAGATAAGATTGCTCATTTTCTGATCAAGATGAATAAATACACTGAACTGATTATGGAAATTAACACTCGCATCAGTACTATCTCCAGAACACAAATTGTTGATTATCAATGATTTCTAGTCTCATAAGGTATACTTAAAAATAAGGAGGCAGACAAGTTAGCCAAACAGACCTCTTCAAAGAGTATACACTAAAATACCTCGGATTACAATAAAAAATCGATATCAAAACGATAATTCTCTTGTAGTAAAAACACTGGAAAACAAAAACTACAAGCAAAGCATCTAATAAGTTTATCCTAAACGTTATTACCACGTGCAAAAATAAAACGTATTGTAATTAGTGTTTGGTTTACTCAGCTTGTAACTTAGCATGGTAACTTCTTATGTTACTTAGAAAAATTAAAAATTAAAGACATGCCTATTTGCCTCTACGGGCTTAATAAGGATTCAACACTCAAGCATCTGCTTTTCTATTGTAACATGTACAGTATGATAGCATTAGATTATTTTAAATAGTTATAACTGGCTATGTGCTCTTCGCCAACTCATTTCTACATCTAATATGTAAAGTACAGGTACGATCAAAGTAAGGTTTTCATTATGAACTTCAAGACATTTGACATTTACTCTTATAGTCCTTAGTTTTTCTCTACGCAAGCATCTCTTCCTACAGTTAGATTTCTTCAGAAGGTCATCAAAAGGATGTTACATAGAGACTCAGGTATTATTTGTTTTGTTTTTGCAGACTTTAGATTATCAGTTTTCTATACTTTCAACCGGTTAACCGTGTCCTGCGTAGTTCTTCAAATTTTACCTCTTACTTACCATTCTTATTAGCTCTCCTCCCACCCTCCTCTCTTCTCCCTTCTTACTCCATTCTATCTTCCCAGCTCTCTTCTTTGGACTAAACCATTTTAATAGTGCTCAATCTAGCGTTTAAAAAACCATGTAAAGTTAAATGTGTGTAATTATGTCGATTTAGTCCATTAAAATTAAAACCAACTTAAAATTCAATTTCGTATATTTAAAATTTTAACTTTGGAATTAGAATATTAGTTCATCGAGTTAATTACTAATTTTTGTTTAAAATTGTTGACANGTTTATCCTAAACGTTATTACCACGTGCAAAAATAAAACGTATTGTAATTAGTGTTTGGTTTACTCAGCTTGTAACTTAGCATGGTAACTTCTTATGTTACTTAGAAAAATTAAAAATTAAAGACATGCCTATTTGCCTCTACGGGCTTAATAAGGATTCAACACTCAAGCATCTGCTTTTCTATTGTAACATGTACAGTATGATAGCATTAGATTATTTTAAATAGTTATAACTGGCTATGTGCTCTTCGCCAACTCATTTCTACATCTAATATGTAAAGTACAGGTACGATCAAAGTAAGGTTTTCATTATGAACTTCAAGACATTTGACATTTACTCTTATAGTCCTTAGTTTTTCTCTACGCAAGCATCTCTTCCTACAGTTAGATTTCTTCAGAAGGTCATCAAAAGGATGTTACATAGAGACTCAGGTATTATTTGTTTTGTTTTTGCAGACTTTAGATTATCAGTTTTCTATACTTTCAACCGGTTAACCGTGTCCTGCGTAGTTCTTCAAATTTTACCTCTTACTTACCATTCTTATTAGCTCTCCTCCCACCCTCCTCTCTTCTCCCTTCTTACTCCATTCTATCTTCCCAGCTCTCTTCTTTGGACTAAACCATTTTAATAGTGCTCAATCTAGCGTTTAAAAAACCATGTAAAGTTAAATGTGTGTAATTATGTCGATTTAGTCCATTAAAATTAAAACCAACTTAAAATTCAATTTCGTATATTTAAAATTTTAACTTTGGAATTAGAATATTAGTTCATCGAGTTAATTACTAATTTTTGTTTAAAATTGTTGACACGATTTAGTGCTATCTAATTATTTGAAAATAATACTTTGATATAACACATTTGATGATTAATATTATTATAAATCAAAATTTTATTTATCAACATTTTAATAGCAATTTTAATTATTTTTACCTCTATTTTTATACAGAAACAATTTGAACAGATTAGAGATTGGCACTGTATCTATAATATATCTATAAATTATTTTAAATTTTTATACAAAAATCATTTATTAACTTGAAAATTTAAGTCTGTCGATTTAAAAAATATTAAAACACTATAATGAATGAAAAGAAAACAAAAAAATGTAATGAAATAATTGTATTAAAATCGTTATACTGTATTTGTTTATTTTCTTTATTTCTGTTTCAAGTCGGGGAAACTAGATGGAACAGGTGGAAAGTCGCGTTTATCCACCTCTCTATGGATTGCCTGATTTTTGCATCCGACTTGTAAATACGTGTAATAAATTGATAGTAAAAGATATAATAAACAACAAATATCACTTATCAAATAGATTTTACTATATTTAATTTTCTTAACGCAAACATCAACTTTACCTTACAATAGTAGCGTGAACGCTGCATGCAATTTTAGAATTTCAAAAGAGACAGAAGGACCGACTGCTGGTGCATCACCTCGTCTACATTTATTAGTTTGCATAATAGTAGTGTTGCATGCCATGAAAATATACCTTTTACTTTAGGTGACAAAGTGCGATTTTCGACCT